GACTGAGCCACCCAGGCGCCCTCGACCTACCTATTTTTAATTCAAGTATACTTAACATGCAGTGTTCTATTAGTTTCAGGTGTACAGCATAATGATTCAGCAATTCTATACATTGCTTAGTGCTCATCACAATAGGTATACTCCCATCCGCTTCACCTATTTTACCCATCCTCCCACCCTCCCACCCAGTGTTTTTAAAAGATACCTCCACCAGCAGTGTGATGGAATGAATTAAGAGGCCAAGACACTGATGGCAAGGAGGCCATGTATACTGCTAAAATGATCTGAGTAATAAAGATGAGGACCCAAAGAGGATTAGTGACAGTGAGCATAAAATAAACTGAGTAGTCAGAAGAGAGAAGACCTGGTAGCTAATTGGATGAGTGAGTGGGCTGTGGAATTCTAAAGGCCCACTGGAAAACACCTCTAAGAATTAATTAACTTGTAAGATGTCACATACTGTATGATCGGTATACACATGTTAAATAACTGAATGGAAAACAAATCCTGTATGAACAAAAATTTTAAAATAGTAGCAATATAATATAGAGTTACCTGAAGAGAATGTCCAGCAGGACTGAGGCTGAATCTAAAAGTTTCATTGAATGAGGGCTCTCTATCATGTCGGCATACTCTTGTTTTTTTCTTGATCACCTTTTTCTGGGTAGAGATGTTCATCACATATATTTTTACATATAAATCTGAAAATAAGAATTCAGCTTGTAAAGTGTCCATGACTCATACAACTTTCTGTTGAAAGAATTACAATTGTACACTGAGAGCTCTTGTATATTTTACACAAAGCTAGCAGGCTGTGCTCGACTTGTTTCAGACAACATAAAGTGATTGAAAGATACACCAATTTTCTTAGCAATTCAGTTATCCTGTTGTATGGTAAATACAGTACTCTAAGATTACGTGTTGAGAAAATTTAGCTAAAAACTAGTAAAATATCAACTTATTTCTATGTAAGAGAAATTAATTCTTATTTTTCATTTTTCAGATGTATTTGGTGTACGGCCCAAATTTTACTCTACATTTTCCAGATTATTTAGGACATATTCCTACAGAATTCCTAGATGTATGACATTGCTCATTATCATAAAATTAGATACCTGGTAAGTGATCGGGAGATTTAAATTTGTAGGTGATATTTCTGCACTGGAGAATCTCAACTATTAGTTGTTCACCATCTGTCTTCATTTCCTTCTTCAGTGCAATCTTGATTTCGCCCATTACCTGAGTTTTGACTGGGAGAATTTAATAAACATGTTAAGAAATATGAAATGCCATCTATCAAATGTTTAATTCAGTAATTCATTCTTACATTTGTTTATTGCTTGTCAAGTGTTGAACACCTTACTGTATCCTGTGGATACACAGATGAATAAAATATAGTCCGAGCCCTTAAGGAGTATAATATCTCTTGGGGAGACTGATAAATTACACACTTACAACAAAGTGTGTTAATATAACGACAAACTAGTAAAAAGGGAGGTATGGAAGAAATGCAAGTTGATAAGTATTACTTAACTGCAGATTATTAGGCCAAAAGAGGAAACAGATGAGACCACAAGAAGACAGGTATCCATAAAAATAATATAATTTTAATTTAATCTATAGGAAATCAGTCATGTGAAATACAAGAGTTGTTTGCTAACAATTGCTCATTACCAGGCTTGCGCAAGAACATTTGCTACCACAACTAAATGTTGTTATATGTTCTTTCTACTTCCTTTCTTTTCCTGTATAAAAGAATAGCCAACAAGAATATGTAGTAGTGAAATTGCACAAGGGAAAATACCATGAGAGACTTAAATGAATCCAGTGTATTTCTTTCAAGTGTTTATCTTGGATCTTTGTATCACTGAAGAAGCTATTCATGCTAGGTCATGTTCTTTAATGATTCACCCTTTCCTCTGTCAATTCATATATGCATCCACTTCTCCAATCACCAACAAGTATTTTATTTCCCACCCTACACTGTGATAAGCACTCTGTTAGGAAGAATGGTTACAATGGTGAGCCAAAACACACATGCTTATCAGTTTTATGGTTTCTCCACCTATTGGGAAGAAAGCCTTAACGAATTATTTTCATCAATAAATGTAAAATTAGAAAAAGAGAAAAGGTAATGAAATACAAGAGCGTGGTTCCAAGAGAGCCTGCGGAAGTATTGCTTGAGCTGAAACCAGAAGGATGAGAAGTTAACTAGTTGAAATGGATTAAGAACGTGCTACAGAGAAGGAACAGTGTGCTCACAGGAGGGAACATCATGGGGCTGAGGAACTAAATATATGTTCATGTGATTATGACATATTGTTAATTGGCACCATGTTAAGAATTTGGTTTTTATATTTAGGACAATAGGAAGCTATTGAAGGTTTCTAAGTTTGGATATAAATCACTTGTTCTCAGACATCTTGGTTTCAGACTTCTTTACACTCTTAAAAAAAATGGAGGGTCCTCAAAGAACAATTGTGTATATTATAGCTATCAATATTAGAAATTTAACATTTCTAATTAAAATACAAAATTAGATATTCTAGAATACTTATTGATTCCATTAAAATGACAATAATATACTTATAAATAAATATTTTAATGAAAAATAACCATATTTTCCAGAACAAAAATATATAGTGAGGAAAGCTATTTCATATTTTTTCAAATTTCATTAATGTTTTGCTTAATAAAGGACAGCTGGATTCTCATACTTGTTTCTATATTAAATCCAATTCATTTTGTTGTTTTAGTTGAAATGTATGAAGAAAGTCCAATCTCATACAAATAGTTGGAAAAGGGAGAAGTATTTTAATATCCTCTTTAGATAATGCTATATAATTAAAATCTGACAAGTGGTAATTTCTGGAATCTGAAATCATATCAATGGACTTTTGAACTGTTACTTTAAAATATATCAGTCTATCCTGCATTTTATTTTTTTTTATCTTGCATTTTGAATGGATCTTTTAACTATGCCCGACTTGGTAACAGCATATTGTTCATTTTGGAAAATACTGGTTCCCTGAGTCAGGCAGGTCTTGTTGACATATTTCATAAAATATTTAAAGCACATGTGTTAATATCACCACCAATATCATCAAAAAGGTCTTTGGATATTGAGAAGCCTCCAAGCTCAGGAAGGCAAGTTTTCCAAAGTTCTATTTTTATTTAAAAGCTGAATTTCATCACTGACAACTAGCGTCACTTGTTTTTCTTAAAGTGACAAGTTCACTTTGTTAATTGTTGAGAATAAGGAGCATTTGTTTATCAGTTATTCTTTTTAGCAAAAATTACACTTCTTATTAAATAGGCTAGCTCAGCGGGCAACTCAAAAAAAAAAATTACACAAACCGGTTTCCTCAAGTCAACTATCATAATTTGGCAGGCAGCAAAATGCTTTAGGTATATTTCCCATTTCATCACACAGAATTAGAAAGACATGTACTTAAGGGTCTAGGCTTAATAACAATAATTTTAACTTCCTCATTAAGGACAGTCTTAAATGAAACTGACATTTTCCTTATAAGTGAGTGGCAGTTAAAAAAATAAATACAGTGACTATTAATATAGTTTGGTGTCACTGCCCTACCTTGTGCTAAGTCCCCAGCAGTTTACTGCATCATTGCTTTTGCATTATCAATGCAAATGGCAGCACAGTGAAAAAAGGTAAATAATATCTTAGTATATATTTTTTTAAGATTTTATTTATTTATTCATAAGAGACAGAGAGAGAGAGGCAGAGGGAGAAGCAGGCTCCCCGCCTAGCAGGGAGCCCGAAGTGGGACTTGATCCCAGGACCCTGAGATCATCACCTGAGCCGAAGGCAGACGCTTAACCATCTGAGCCACCCAGGCACCCAACATCTTAGTATATTTAAAAAAAATAATTTTGACTTCGTGCATGCACGTAGACCAAATACAGAATACAGACTATAGTTGAGTAATCTTTGAGAGGAAACTAAAGTAACAAAAGCATTATGTGCAAAATCGTAAATATATTAGATGGTGGTGATTTAATCCTTTTGATTGAATTTTGTCACATTTCGGGGATGTGTTATTTTGATGAATTTCTTTCCTGGATCAAGTGTTTGATTAAATTAATTTAACTTTTTATGCCTGGATGTACCCAGACATGTAGAGAAATATCTATCAATACCAATAACTAAGGTCCAAAAATACAGGAAACCGTCCTCTACACTGAAACACAAATCTTCTGGATATAATTACACCGTAATAGTTTAGCAACCAACAATTGTAGATACTTCACAGCAGTTAGATGTGAACTTTACTCTCAAGAAACTCAAGAAAATAAAATGCAAGCCAAGGATTTTATATACAGTTCAGCTGTCTTTCAAGTATGAAGCCTATAGTTTTAAGCACAGAAAAACTCAGGAATTCTATACAAAAATTGATTCTTTGAGAAATACACCAGGGATGCATTTCATTAAACCAAAGAGATAACTAGAGAGACTTCAGCACAAGGGCTGATGGTGAGTATTTAACGTACTTAACTGTAGAGCTAAGGCTAAAGCAGGAATGAGGACACAGGTGGGTGGGAGAACAGCGTTTGTTATGTATTACAACAGTATTAAGAATAAAACCAAAAATAGATGGAGGTAGAAGGGAGAGAAAGGGGAAAGTAGAGTGAGATTATTGATTTTTGTATAGGTAATAGGTAGGTAACAAAGGATGCAATTTAAAATTAGCAAACCAGATAGTAAGTGGTGAAGTAAGAACAAGAATTATAAATAGTCTAAATAAAAAGGAAATCATTAAAACAAAGATACAAATCTTTCTTAATTACAGAATTTTTTTTCAAATCAAAGACACCAAATGGATAAAGAAATATAATAAATATACACAATAATTACAAAACAAAATGTAGAGTTGCAATCAAACTTATCTATATCAGTTAATATAACTAGGTTTAGCTAGCCTATCTTTAGAAAGACTTCAAGACTGGCTCATAAAGCAAAGCTTAAGTCTATGATAAAATTTAGTTTTGCTTCAAATAGTGAAAAATACATCAATTATAAGCATGCCACGTTTACGGAAACCAGAAGAGAGTAGGGGTTAGACTGTTATTATCAGACAATATAATTTAGGGTACAATACAGTAAACAAGACAAAAAGGGGCATTTGATCAAGCTAAGGATACCTAAATCCTAATGAAGGTATAACAATTATGAAGATGTATGTACCACTTAAATAAGACTGAAACTATAACATGAGATGTAAGAGTTGTAAGGAGATGAATGAGAATAGTAGTAAAAGACTTCTATACAACACTTGTAATGCAAGACAGGCCAAGTAGACCAAAAGAAGCAAAGACATAGAATTTTGAGACATTATAATCAATAAAGCAGATCTCATGTATATTTATTAAATACCATACCCTGATAACAGAGAATATATCTTTTTTTCTCAATTATATATGGCACATTCCCAAAATCGATCACATACTGAGTTGCAAAGAAGATATCAGTAAGTTCTACAAAATGAAGCTATTACAAACATTGATCACACACAAAAAGCCTTCAATTAAATAATTCTTGGGTGAATGGTGACATACAGTAAGAAAAGACAGGAGTTCTGAAAAATAACAATAATGAAAAGAACCACGTGTCAGAGTCTATGAGAGTTAAAGTAATGCTGAGAGGAAAATCTCAACTTGAGATTGGCAATCCTGGCTCATTGTTCAGAAGATCTGATGCTTTCAGTAGAATCAGGAAAAATGTCCAAGGCTCCCCATTTCCTGGAGCTCTAAAATGAAGTCAGTGAAAAGCCCAAAGCAGAGATTATCTTCTCCTGGGAATAAGACATATCTTGGCTTGGTGGAGTGAATGCTAGCAAAGAAAACAAAACAAAACAAAACAAAACAAAAACCCCAAAAAACATTTAATCAAATTTCAAAAGGGGGAGCAAAACCTCATCAACCAGGCAACCAAATCTAAATGTGCAACAGTTCTCTGTCTTTCCTCCAAAGCCATACAGAAGTGGATAGAACACCATCTCTCAAACCCGCACCTGGGATGGAGGGAAAAAGAGGCTTCTAACTAGGTAAGGAGGGAGCCAAGGAAAATTCACTCCCACTAGTCGGAGCCAACAGAAGCTGTGGATAGAACTGATGACAGTAATGAGCATGCAGGAATAAAACAGCAGGACAAATCTTTTTCTGGGAGAAATTCACTTTTATAGGTCATATTCCTCTTTTACAGCCCTTAAAACCCCACACGCTAAGCATG